AGCGGGGCTGGTGGCCCACGCCTGTAATCCTAGCCACTCAGGAGACGGAGATCTGAGCATGGAGGTTCAAAGCCAGCCAGGGGAAGGAAAGTCCGTGTGACTCACCGGAAGTGGTAGAGCGCTCGCCTTAGAGCTAAGAGACAGTGGCCGGGACCTGAGTTCAAGCACACACACACACACACACACATACACACACACACACACTGAGTTCAAGCACACACACACACACACGGCGGGAGGCCGAGGGTCTGTCCGCTGCAAGGGGGCAGCTGAAGATTTGGGTTTCTGGGGCTCCGAGTTCAAGGCCTTGTCAGCCAGGCGGAGCCAGGCGATATCTAGTCTATAGAAGGAGCTTACTAGCATCCTGTGTATGTGTCGCAGCCTGCAGAGCTGGATGGGAGCGATGTTGGGGTGCAGACAGCAGAAAAAACGAGGGGGTGGAGGAGCCAGGTGCAGGGGGGGCTTGGAGAGGCCCAGCTGCTCCCTGCGGGCGTGGGGGGTGCGGGTGGGGGGGTGGGGGGGGTGACACGGTGGCAGTGCCACTCTGCAGCCTCGCTGTGTGCGCACACACTGGTGCACATGGAGCCCACAGGTCCCCGCAAGAGTTGAGGTCAAATCCCAGGTCTGCTACTTGCTCCGTTGTGTCACCTTGGACAAGTCACTGTGTCCCTCTCTGCCTCCATTTCCCCATCTGTCATTGGGGCCTGAGGGATCCAGGGACAGTGTGTCATTGTAGACAGAGGCAGGAGTGGCCTCCAGCTCCCCCCAGCAGCCCTGCCCCGCCGGGGTGCAAAAGCTGCCAGCCCCACCTGTCCCTTCAGCCTCTTCATTTGAACTCGGGGTCCCTGGAGCCACACCCCAGCCCTATTTCTGCCATAGTCATTTTTCTGATCTTCCCGCTCACACCTCCTGTGTAGCTGGGATTACAGGCAGTCGCCATGTGGCAGCCTCACCTCATCACCGATGCTTTGTTTTGGTGATGCAACAGATATTTTACCAATGCTTCCCGGCCTTATGGGTGAGGCTAGGTGGTGGTGCGCCATGCTCTCCTTACCTTCCAGGCGTGTCCATGCCCCGGTCTGCCTTCTCCCCAGCTGTCCGCCCTCCGCCCGCTGGGCCTGAGGTGTGATTATGGCCTCACCTTCCTGAACACTCCTGCCCTGTCTGCTCTAGTACACAGTCCCAGTGCCATCTGGCTTTCCTAGCTGAGTTTTGGGGCCCACTGCTGGCGTTCCCACCCCGTTCACTGCACACTCCCGGCCTCACCTGACACCAGTGCTTGGCCAGGCCACCTGAGCTTGCTTCAATCACGGCTGCGGCTCAGTACGGTAGGGCTGTGGCCGAAGCCACTTTGATTTCATCTTTGGGGTGTTTTGTCTCTCATATGAGCCTCTTTCCAATTAGTTTAAGCAAAGGGGATTTAGGGACTGGGGATCCTGTTCCTCAAAGTTTCAGGCCACCAGGAACTGGGTCCCTGGGGAGCTGGCCCTGCTGGCCGCTGGCCGGCCCTCTTCTTTCTAGGTTTCTGGGCCTCCCTGGGGTGCGGCCCGGCCTCTCCCTGCAGGCTAGCCTTCTGTCCCAGGCAAGTGATGGCTTCAGCTCCACTCTGTGGGGCCCCTCCCAGTGGGGTGTGCCTTAGTCTCTGCTTGCCAGGGAGAGACTGTGTGGGCCGGGCGCAGGGTGCAGGAGGCTCGCTGATGGGGGCAGGCCAGTGGCCTCTGGGAGGCAGAAAGGAGCGTAGTGGGGCACGCTTACAGTGTGTGTGCATGCATGTGCCACCATCGTATACTTGGGGTTTAACCCCCAGCTAAGGTGGCATCCCAGCCTCCTGGTACCCCCTTCCCCTTCAGTCCCTAGGCCCAGCTGTCGGTCCGAAGCTGGGCGGCGGTGGCTCCCGGCTGGTCTGGGCCTGCAGACCCCCGTTTCTTGTCAAGGAGAGGGCCCTGGAGCCCCCAGGGATGGTTGTGTAGAGGCTTAGGGTCCTTTGAGGGGGTCCCTGCTAGGGCAGAGGAAGGGATGGGCGGGGGCCCCCAAGGGTTCTGGAATATTCTCAGAACCTGGTACTTGGTGGGAGGATGTGCAGAAAAAGCAGCCAGAGATCGTGGGGGTGGCCTGGTGCCATGGCACCCCCAGATCTCTGCCCTTGTCCTCGACCCTCAGTTGGGGAGCCAAGATGCTCTTTAAGTTTCAGGAAGTTGAGAGACTTGATTTCAGGGCCTGAGTTGGGTGACTCTGACAAGCCACATGCCTGCTCCAAGCCTCAGTTTCTCCATTGGTAACACGGTAAAGATGAAGTGTTTATAGGCCTTGACTTTGGTGAGAGGAGGCAGGGTGGCTGTGATTTTTTTTCCCTTTTTTTTTTTTTTGTCGGTCGTGGGCCTTGAACTCTGGGCCTGAGCGCTCGCTGTCCCTCAGCTCTTCAGCTTAAGGCTATCGCTCCAGCACTTGAGCTACAGCGCCACTTCCAGTTTTCTGGTGGTTTATTAGAGATAAGAGTTTCACGGACTTTCCTGCCCAGGCTGGCTTTGAACTGTGATCCTCAGATCTCAGCCTCCTGAGTAGGTAGGATTACAGGCGTGAGCCATGGGCACCCGGCAGATTTTTTTTTTTTTTTAATATTGGTCCTGGGGCTTGAAATCACAGCCTGAAATCACTGTCTCTTAGGTTTTTAACTCAAGGATGATGCTCTGCCACTTGAGCTACAGCTCTGCTTTCCTGCTTTTTGCTGGTTCATTGGAGATAAGAGTCTGATGGACTTTCCTGCCTGGACAGGCATTGAACCTCGATATTCAGATCTCAGCCTCCTGAGGAGCTGGGATTGTGGGCATGAGTCCTGTGCAGGGAAGTGGCAGGAGTGTCCGGGTTATTTCAGACTTGGGATATTAGGAGTAGTTGGTGTTGTTCGGCATGTGTAGGTGCATGTGTCTACCTGGAGTATGGCCACCGGGTTCGCAGGTTTTGTGTGTTCAGCTTCCTGGGTAATGCCATCTGTTTTCAAGAGGCTAAAGAGGGTTTTCCCTCCAGCTGGGACCACCCGGGTGCCAGTGTCCCTGCCGGCGCTTTCCACTCGATGTAGTGTCCTGCACATTTCCCCTTGCTGTGGCAGGGGTAGGGTTACCGTGCTGACAGTGAAACGGATCTTCTTTCTGCGTTCCTCCGTCTTCCTCTGAAATACTCCTGCTAGTCTCTTGCTGGCTTTTCTCAATGGCTTGAGGGAGGTCTTTATAGTTTCTGAATTCATGTGCCAGGCACAGTGGCTCATGGTAGCTATTCAAGAGGCTGAGATCTGGAAGATCACAATAGAAGCCAGTCTTGGGGGGGGGGTGAATCCATAAGACTTTTTGGTTTTTTCTGGCCCTGGGGCTTGAACTCAGGGCTTAGGCCCTGTCCCTGTACCTCTTTGTGCTTAAAGTTAGGCCTCTACCTTCTGAAGCCACAGCACCACCAGTAATGTGTTGGAGATAAGAGTCTCATGGACTTTTCTACCTGGGCTGGCTTTGAACCGTGATCCTCAGATTTCCGCCTCCTAAGTAGCTAGGATTATAGGCATGAGCCACCAACACCGAGCTCCACGAGTCTCTTTTTTT